TAAAGGAGCTGTGAGTTGGGCGTTTCCTTTCATCCTGAAATTCGTAGGGAGATATACTCTGGATTGTCTGTTTATAGCTTCAACCCTCTCTCCTGAAAGAGGAAAAGTTGTTCTTGGGGGTACAGCCTGTATTTGTGCCTGTGTCCAGGGACAGAAACAGCTGCTCAGTAAGGAAAATCATGCTCAGGGAAAGAGTTGATGGATGAGTTGACATTCTGTCCGCAGAGGTCACGGACGCCTGCAGACAGAAGTCAGACATGCACGACATAATACAACACGCTCCGCCGAGAGTGGTACCCAACCCAGCACCTGGGCTGCTTTCCTAAGCACAGAGGGCGTTGGAAAGCAAAGCTGATCAGGCTACAAAAGACGGGGCTAGCGTTTTAAGCATTTCCTTCATTAAGGCTGACGTCTATTATTTACAAACACAAGTTGTTTTTTTGTTTTGGTTGCATTTCGAGGGTTGCTTGGATCCCCACCCACAAATGATCGCTGTCCCCTTCAGCTCGGGGCTCAGCGGAGCCCCCGCAGGTCCTGGCTCCCCACCACGGCTGCCCCTCCCTCTGTGCCCTGCCCTGTGCGCCACCCCCACCCCACAGCTGACTGTCCATCTTCTGCTCTGCTCTACCCAGCCCTGGTCGCCCCATCTCATACCTTTCCCTGCGTGAGTTAGTGTTTGGCATTAAGTCGAAGCTCCTGAAGTTAAATAGGAAAAAAAAAATCCCTTAGGGGCTGTTACAAGGGTTCTAACTAAGCAGATCCCTGCCTTTCTTGCAAGAATTCCTTCGCAAGTCACTCCGGGAGTTGCTGAGGCCCCAGGGACCTGGTAGCTTCCAAGTGCTCAGCACACAGATGAGGAGAAACATTTTGTTATTTCTCTAGAGAGGGAGGTTAGAGAGATGAAAACGGAGGGAAGGAGACAGGAGCAGGATGACAGGTAGCCTGGGGGTGGGGGTTGCTTCCCTGAACCCCCTAAGTCTTCACAAATTCTGTGAAACTTGGGAAAAGGTTTGTAAGGAGATTCCTTAGGAAATCCGTGAAGGGGGTAAACTTTCAGCCTGAAGTGATGCAAAGCAGGTCTAGGAGCCCCGCCGGCAGCTCCCCCACCGGGGAGTGCGCGCAGAACTGCTGTGGCCCCCAACAAGACTGGGTGAATTCCTCGGCGCCCAGGCAGCACCGGGACCCTGGGGGGGACCCAGGCGGCAGTAACTGTACAGAACTGCCCAGAAGACTCCACTGCGCAGCCAGGTCGGGGAACCGGTGGAGAAAGCCATCCCCTACACAAATGGCGATCGGCGCGATCCTGCTTCCACCTCGAGGGCTGCAAGGGCCTCGCTGACATCTGGGTTTTGTTTCAGAAACATCTCTTGAGCTTACAGAAATTATTTTGAACCTAGAGTGGTCTTGCATTAAGAAGAAAAATTTGAGAAGAGGTTGGCTTCATTTTCTGCAACTGCAGAAATGTGAGAATATTGCGTTTCCGATAGGATCTACCTTTTTTCCTCAACTATCCGGGGTCCACTATGCACCCAGCACTGGCCTGGATGCTTCCCATGCATTATGTTTCTCAATTCCTACAAATACCTTCTAATGCCTCTGCGTTGTTCTCTGGCTATGCCAGCGTCCTTTGGGCTGAGAAACAGCTGTCCCTTTGCAGATGACAGTGGCCTGTGCAATCCTAGCCAACAAGCCCGGAAAACTGCGGCTCTGGGTTTGCCCTGTCCCTCCCCATGATCAGCCTGAGGTGTGACAGAAGCAGGGACTCAGCACGTGTGTTTGGACTCTTGCCTCTGCCCCACGTTCTGCTTCTTTCTTCAGTTAGTCGGCCTCCCTTGCCTTTGGTCTCTCATGCACAGCAGTGTGAGGACAGAGGCTGAGTCTGGAGACTTGAGACGGTCACTCGGCTGCCCTGGATCTCAGCCCCCGCATCACAAAACGGGACATTAATACCTGACGCCCTGGCCACTCATGAGGCTGAGAGAGAATCAGTGATTCAAATACATGTTATTTCTCCTAGGGCAGTCTACCCAGGCAACAGAAATGCAAGCCAAAATAAACAAATGGGACCTAATTAACCTCATAAGCTTTTGCACAGCAAAGGAAACCATAAAAAAAAACAAAAGGACAACCCAGGAATGGGAGAAGCTATTTGCAAATGATGCGACTGACAAGGGCTTCATTTCCAGAATACACAAACAGCTCAGACAACTTAGTAACAAAAAAAAAGCAACTCAATCCAAAAATGGGCAGAAGACCTAAACAAGCAATTCTCCAATGAAGACATACAAGTAGCCAATAGGCATGTGAAAAAATGCTCAATATCACTAATTATCAGAGAAATGTAAATCAAAACTACAATGAGGTGTCACCTCACACCAGTCAGAATGGCCGTCATTCAAAAGTCCACAAGCGAGAAATGCTGGAGGGGCTGTGGAGAAAAGGGAACCCTCCTACGCTGCTGGTGGGAATGCAGTTTGGTGCAGCCCCATGGAAAACAGTATGCAGATTCCTCAAAAGACTAAAAATAGACGTACCCTGTGATCCAGCAGTCCCGCTCCTGGGCATGTCTCTGGAGGGAACTCTAATTGCTGGGGGAAAAGGGGAGGGGGGAGGGATAAATGGGGAATTTGAGATTTGCAGATACTAACTACTATATATAAAATAGATAAACAAGTTTATACCATTAAAAAAAAATGTTAGAACCTCCTGGTACTTTGGGTTCAAATCCTGTTCTCTAAATAAGCAACGACAGGCTGATGTCACTCGTCATCTCCCAGCCAGGTTGCCAAGACCTGTCGCCCATGCGTCATGCTGGGGACAAACATCTTAGCTGTCTCTCTGGAGCCGTGCCCCGTCCGTGACTTTCAGAGGCAGGAGGGGACTCCTTTGCAGCACCTCCCACATTTGAGGAAAGCCCCAGAGCGCATCTTCACAACGTCACCCACCATCAAGTCAACCGCCCTGTCCATCGTGGCCCGGGGCTTGTCCCTGTCAGAGCAGGGACAGATTGGCAGGATCTGCGGATATAAGATATGACACTGGCTGTGTCTTGGTGTCACCAAACGCTGCCATGGTTCCCACAGTTCCTAGGCCCAGGAATCCAGGAGCCCACAGACGGCCTTCCGTGGAGGGTTCTGCCTGCTAGCGCAGTCCGAATCCTCACCCTGGACGTGCAGTGGAGACGCACACTCTGAAATCTAATCTTCCAGAAAAAGACAGAGCAGCCTAGTTTTCCTCAGTCTTCCTGCCTCCCACGGGCTGACCTCAGATTAGTAACAGGGCGTTAAACAGTTATCAACATCAAGCCGAACAGGCAAATCCCCGGTGCTTCTAGACTTGGGGGAAGTTGGTCATTTGGGCTCTGGGCTCTGGGGAAACTGGCCTGGTCGGGAGCTGGCCCCGCCGTGGTCCCACAGCAGTGAGCACTGTCCAGCCCGCATCAGATAGTTAATTAATACTGTTGAAAGAATAAAGAGGAACCCTGTCACTAAGACTGAGTTTAAACTGCAAAGGGGCCAGGCCAGGTCGGGCGCAGCGAGCCCGTGGGAGACATGCCCGGCCCACGGCAGACCGGGTGACTCGACACTGATACAAAATGAGAGATTCGAGTATCCGTGCATCTTTTATTGAGCCTATTTTTTGGTCAAAAAGCATCATCTGATTTGCCTTTGTGTCCCCGAGGCCTAGCGTTCTTCTGCCTTGTGCGAGGAACTTGGTAAAAGGAATGAGAAGCTACATCACAGTTTCCATCCTGGAGCCACTAAGGGGCTCCGTCACCTGTAAGAGAAGGTCAAGTTTGCTCTGACCCTCACGTTGAGATTCCACGTGGCAACGTGTTACCCCCTTGGTAACCCAAGGTTCAACTGTGCACTCAGTGTTCATTGTCCGTCTACGCCCAAGGAGCAAAAATCAGCCGTAACAGCCCCAAATGGGGCGTTACCTTCCTGGAGACTTCGGGTGGGGGTCGTGGGTGAGAGCGTGTCTTCACTGCCGTTTATCTCTTTGTCTCTAATGTCTCTGTGATGATACAGAAACCATCTCCTCCTCAGCTCATGGAAGCCAGCCTCGGGGTTATTCCGAGGAAGCGGGCTTCAGAGGCCAAGGGGCACAGGCAGGTCCGTGCCCCTCCCATTTCTTTTGCATACAGAGGCAGACAAGGTGAGGGAGCCAGAATTTTGAACGTGGCGGCCCAAACCTACCTTCCCACTCGGAGACGAACCCCCCCCAGTCTAGCAGGCAGCCCGCGGGGCGCAGGGCCTCCTGCCCGCTCTGTAACGAGCACACAGTAGATGTTCCACTGTGACCGTGTTCATTGTACTTTGGGTGTGTTTGAGATCAGGAACTGTGTTTAAACACTTTGCATACCCACTCCACATAGCAGAGCTGAAGACGCAGGGAGCTAGGTCGTGTATCCGCCCCTGGCTGTGTGAGCCGATTCCCAGTGGAATGCTGATGGGGAGACTTCGGCGGCGGGGGGGGGCGGGGGTATGATTATTTGAAATAATGGCCCATCAGGGGGCTTTGCTGCACTGTCTTCTAGTAATAAGATTTGACAGGTGGACAGAAGGAAAGATCTGGAAACAACAGAACAACGAGCTAGAATACCTTCACCACCTTGTAAGTCTTCTTCTTCAAAGGCGGGGAAGGAAGGTGAGGGAAGGGGGAAAGGAACTCACCCCAGTTCAGCAAGGACAGAAAAGAGGAAATTAATTTTGTGTTGCCATGGTAATGGATTTCCAGCAATGGCAGTTTGCCAAAGCCTTCCTCACAGTCTTTTTTGAGAGATCCACAGTGACCCTTGAATGCTATCCTAGGAATCACACGAGACATTGAAAACACCCCAATCAAAACACAGCCGTGCGGGAAGGCAAACTTTCAGAACCAGGCCCAGCCAGGCCTGGACTGTAAACAGAGAACAATCCTGCAGGACTGGCAAACACCCCTCCTAAGGGAAGAAGTCAGAAGCAAGATCTGTTTGTTATTTTGTTTTATTTGGAAAAGAATTCTGCAAGATGGCAGAGGTACATCTGCTGACATCTGGCCTGGGACTCGATTTCCAGCCACACTCAGGAACTCCATCCTAAGGGCCAAAGCGAACATTCCCTGTTATTACGGTAATAACGGTGATGTACCGACCCCTTCCCAAAGAGCCTTCCAAGGGAGGGGAAATCACCATCACTGGCTTCGAAACTCAGGCTTCCCAAGGAATCACCGGCACCCATCAAAGCTGGAGGTAAAAGCCCAACTTCCCTTCTGCCTTCATCAGACTGTCCGACCTTCTCTCGTCTCCTTCTGCTTATCCAACCAGCTGACGAACCTCTACGATCAGTAGACTCTGAATAAAGCAGGTGATCCTCCACCGTGTGTGGGCCTCGTCCAATCAGGTGAAGGCCTTAAGACTGAGATGTCCTGAAAGAACGGCAATTCAGTCTCAAGTCGGCAATATAGAAACACAGCCTGAGTTTCTGGTCTGCTGGGCTGCCCGGTAGATTTCAGGTTGTCAGCTGCACCCAGTTCCTATCCTAGGAGCCGATTCCTTAAACTAAATCTCTCCACAGATGATCGACAGGTATCACATATGCTGTGTACATGACGTATGTTCTCCATGCCCTGTGTCTATGTCAGCACCTATTTATGTATCTATTCCAGTGCTTCTGTTTCTCTGAAGAACTGTAACATACTGGGTTTTATTACATAACAAGAAATAACCGGTGCTACTTTATGAACCGACCAGAAGCAGGCCAGTTGTGCTCGCAATCTGTTGGCCCAAGTTTCCCTTCCCTCCAAAACTGTTAAGAGTCGAGTTCACGGTGCCTCTGAGTGACGGGCTGAGGGCAAGCCCCTCCCTCGCCTCTGCTGTGCGCTCGACCCTCACCGAGCCTCGCTCGCCTCCACTGGAAACACGCCATGTCGTGTGTAACAGCCCTGGGGCAGCCTGGTTCCTGCCAACAGCACCCTCAGGAAGCAACTCCAGCTTCTAAAGTCATGTGGGTCCCAGGGAAGGAGCCACGAACGTTACGGTATTTTAGAAGCAAGTCAGTGTTCTGGATCTCAAGATGTGGTCCATCAAAGTGCTGGCGGGAGCCCAGAGAAAGAAGGAGGGGAGGAAGGAGGGAAGAGGAAGTGGGAAGGAGAGGAGAGCAGACTACCTTCGGGCAGCAGGAAGGACACGGACAACCTTGGGTGGACTTGGACCGGAACGTGGGAAAGGCTGGCAGAGGAGAGGCTGAAGGGGTGTCAGCTCTTTTCCAGGGTGCCACTGAGGAAGGACTTCCGTCCTCCCACGGGAGCAAGAGAGCCAACGCTCCGCCCACTTTGCAATGGCTCTTAAAACCCAAGCAACAGAACGGCAAGCACAGGCGCGCACGCACACGCTGTGCAAGTAGGACCAGCGGGATTTGAAGACGCTCTGTGAATTGTGCCAGCGTCGACCTCCTGGTTGGATGTTGTGCTCTGCGGGAGGTGTCACCGTGGGAAGATGCTGGGTGAAGGATGTCTGGAACTTCTCTGTATCTTTTTGCAACTTCCTTTGAAAATACCATAACTTCAAAGTACAAAGTTCAAAGAAAGCTCAAGCAGAGCTATGAAATATGGAAGATGGGATGGGCTGCATGAGAGCTGGCCCCTCCTCTGTCCCTCACACCACCCAGTCAGCGACACAGCAGCCGCCCCGGGTCCAGCCCCGCCCGGGAGACCACAGGCCACCAACAGAGCTCAGAAGACTGGCTCTGGAGCAGAGACGGGTGAAGACTCCGCACACGCTAAGCCCATGTGTTTATCTCAGTCTGCTCTGCTCCACGGGGGAGCGTGGAACAGGCCCAGGACACGTTTGACTGTCGCCGCTGGCGGCTTCCCCACCCGCTTCCTCCCGCCCCCAGGATTTATATCTGCTCTTTGGAGGAGCCTGCCTTCCAGGCACACGTGTCCCGGGGGCGTGGGGGCAGCGGGGCAGTTTGGGGCACGTCGGGCTCACTCAGTGTAAGTACCACCCTCCCCCGGGCGGACGCCGCACACGTGGACAGAACAGACAGAAAGAGCCTGCAGCCTGGAGTCTAAGGAGAAAAGATGTGAATGAACAGATCGCGTATTTCCCCACGGAGCTTGGCCTCTCTCCTCAGCTCACGTGCGACCACACAATGAAGGGTCTGGAAGAAACATCCATCTCTGCTCTCAAAGCCCAGGACATCGGCTCTCGTGAACTGTCCAGTTGTGTTCTTTCAGGAGATCCAGATGCACATAATCCAGTTTATATGCGATAAAAATTACCCGAGGCAAGTGTCCAAGGGAAAGCCTTCTCCCCGTCAACTTTATTTTTTATCATCTTTACCTTGATGTTTATTCTCACCTGTATTCTTATATTTCCCTGGGGTTATATTTAGTTCAGGATGTTCCTAGGTGTCATATAGTAGGTTCCAGATCAAAGAGGAAGGCTATCACTCAGGCCAGACAAGGATGCCTCAATTCTTACACGGTGTAAGAAAAACTACTTTAAAAAATGCAACCTGCTGTCTTTTATTTTGCTAGGTGTTCCGGAGGCATTTGCCTGGCAATTGAGAAAATAATTCTTTAAAGCAGTGGTTCTCCACCCAGGAATACGTGGCAGACGTTTTCGGTTGTCACGCTGGAGTAGAGGGCGGTCCTCCTGGTATCTGGTGCGTGAAGGTGTGCTAACATCCTACAGTGCACAGGTCAGCCCCCACCAAAAAACAAGGATTTCCACCCCAAAATGGCAATAGTAACAAAGCTGAGAAACCCGGTTTTAAAGCTCTCAGCAAGCTGACCACCTCTAAGCCCTGTTATTCATTCAACAAACCACTACCTGGAACCTGGTACAATCTTATGCCCCTATGCTGGGCCCCGAGGCGGGGAGCCTGCCTGGCAGGACCTCGCAGAGGAATGACCGGTTTACAAGAAAGTCTAACGTAGCGCAGAGCGCGCTAAGCGCCCGAGTGAAAACGCAAGTCAGCGGGCGGAAGCTGCAAGCGCGTGGGGGACGGAAGGCGCGGATGGCACTTTCCCCGAGACGTCTGCAAGCTGCACATTCGCTCTCAAACGTAAAATTCACTCTCAAACATAAAGCTGAAATAACAGCACGGAAAGAGCACCAAGCCCCAAAGCGCGTTTTAAGCGATCTTTCTGTTTTTATACTCACGTCTCCAGAGACGAGCAGCCTACTGCTTTCTTTGAGACTTTGTTCCTTTAATGAGGATGATTTTCCTAACAGGAATATTCTCCCTGTGCCAGGGACATGCTTTGCTTCCTTCTCCCGCCCCAGGCTGCTCTCTCCAGCTATACCTTTAAAATATTGATAAGCAGACAGCATGATTCTGTAATTGCTAATCAGCTGAGCGACACATGCTTAGCCTCTCTCACCCTTCCTCAGAAAACAACTTAAATTTATTCACAATTTTGAGGATGCATTTTCCTAAATGGCTATGAGTTGGCCTCTTTTTCAATGCTGAGCGCCAAACATGTAGCAGGAACGAGTGTCTGTGTGCCCCCTGCCCCCATTCTCTGAGCTGAAATAAACCCTGGGAGGCACGAGATGTTCATGGGAAAGTAGCAGGAGCCTAAGAGAAAACGGCTTTTCCCCCCAATAAAACCAGTGCCCGGGCCAGAGAGGGTTCGCTCGCGCGGGGGCGCGCCTGGGTCAGACGTTCAAGGCTGAACCCCAGTGATCGTCCCCACGGCAGACGCCGCTGACAGCCGTGCATCCGCCAGCTCTACCACGCGGGCGAGTAAACTGTCTGGGACCCTCACGCTGACAGACGCGAGCGCGTAGCTGAGCATAAATGGAGGCCAGTTATGAAACAGAACGACCAGATGCCACATGCCTGCATGCAGAATATTCCAGGCACTCTCACAAATCAAATAATCAACAAAAAACGTCTTCAAGTCTCTACTTTGGGAACGCCTCTGCACAATACTGGACGGCAAATTTTTATTTATTTGTTTTTAAGTCTAGGTTTGAATCTTGGCTCTGCCACTTTCTAGTTCTTGAACCTGGGTAAGTTATCCCCAACTCTCTTGAGCTGAGAAATGAGGAAAGTCATCCTGTCTCTGATGACTGGCATTCGCGCCAACAGTCTGGGTCCAGTCCGGAACTCAGAGACCGTGTCAGTTAATTTAACAGAGAACATTTAACACAGGGAATTGTGGTGGTAAGAGGACCAGAAAGGCAAAAACAAAAAGGGTGCTGAGTATAATGAAAAAGAATATGAAAAGGAATATATATATATATATGTATATGTATATGTATAACTGAATCACTATGCTGTACACTGGAAATTAACACAACATTGTAAACTGACATTTAAACTTCACTCTAAAAGGTGGGGGGTGGGTGAGGAAGCAGCTACCACCCGAGAGCCATGAGCAGACGACAGAGACTGGGGTTCTTAGAACCTGGAAGTTTGAAAGACAAGCCTGTGGAGCTGAGATGCAGGCTGCCAGGTGGCAGCCCCTGAGGTCTTGTCGTCAGAGAAGCTTAGGGGCCAGTACAGCTGAGCTCAGCTGATTTCAGGAAGGTGCAAAAGAGGGCTGGACACTGGAACCAACTGCCACTGGCAGGGTGATAGGTCATCACCAGGGACACACTTAAGGATGAGTGACTATGTAAGAAGGAGCAAGTCCGTCCCCCCGCTCAGCCTCGGTCTCCCTCCGGCATGTCTCTGGCTGATGGCAGAGGAGAAAGGTCATTGCAGAGAGCCCCCAGCTGCACAGAGCAGAAGCCAGGAGGCTGGATCTGTAGCTGAGAGACCACAGCTTAACACATGGAGCACCCATCCACTCATTCTGTGCATTTGGGGAGAGGTGACTACGCGTCCAAGCGCGAGGCTCTGTGCTGGGCACTGCAGAGCCTGGGGAATTAAGTATGCAGCTCAGTGACTAGCAACATAGACCCTCAGTTCAAGTCAGCTGTCCTCTCTTGGAAACATAAAGGGAAAGGAAAACAAAACAATGGAAACAGAACAAAACCCTGGCTCCTGCCTTTTAGGAGTCCTGTGTTCAGATGAATTATTACGGGACAAGTCAAAGAGCAAAGTACACCGCCGTACATGCTTGTACACGTCAAAAACTATTTCAGGCATGACTGTTTTAAGAATTCAGAGAAGCAAAAGAATACTTGGGGGACTGTCAGGGGAGCCGTCACAAAAAAACAGGAATGAGCAAGACCTTAGTGTTTAGACAATGGCCAGAAGCGCTAAGACCAAGAGAAATGGGAGAAGGCACCTGTGACTTGCCGGAGAACGTGCTGGCTGGAGAGCTTTCGTCGCCACCCAGATCTCCAGGATGGACTTGGCATGTACGGTACGGAAGGTGGGGCCAGCAGAACGTTTCTTGACTCTTCTTCCAAGGCGTCAACGAGCCACTGGAGCTTTCTGAATGAGCAGAAATTACGTGTGAAAAATATTGCCCTGATACCTAACACAGTGCCTTGCAGAAAGTGGAATATTTGGAAAAAATTCCTACGTTGAATGGCATGGGATGGGATGGGATGGGATCATAAAAGCAGGTCTTCACATTGAAAATCTGTACATATTTTCGTCTGTTTTAATTATACTAATAAATGCTTTGTGAAATGTTTTATGCAATCAGGTTTAAGGCCAACAGTTCAGGAAATAAAAGAACTCAAACAGTCATAAAAGTTTTAACGAGGAAGGATGGAATCCGCCCATCAGGACACTGTGCTTATTTCACAGACCGAGACCTGTCATCAGAAAGGACATGACATGGACTTGGCAGAGCCTGGGGGGTCCGCTGAAAGCCTTAGGGACTACTGCAGGAAAAGAACTGGGCAATGCGTTGTTGAATTCATCTTGGTAATTCATACGGGAAAAAATAACATAATTGGTGTGGATTTTGAATATGAGTTTGCAGAGTATACAGTGTCCTCACACTTGATCTTTTGTTTTCTTCTTGGCAGACCCGTTACAAGATTTTGGCTTTTCTGCTGACCAGTGTTCCAAACAATTAAAACCAAATCTCAACATTAGATTTGGAATCGTTCTGAGTAAGTAAAAATTATTGACATCATATAAAGCATTGCACAACCTCCTCCTGGCCCACACACCCTGTCACTTACATTCACTGCGGTGGCCACTAAACCACTGTTCCCATCACCCTCCAGAATGAGCTATTTCCACGTTCGCTTTCTTCCCTCTCTCTGGGTAATATCCAGATAGAGCAGAATTTTCATTTATTGCTGTGCTTTTGTACTGAAGAGACCCTAGACACTCATTTGAAGACATAAGCACCTGAAATCAGTACATCCAGCAAAAAAAAAGAGCATATTTTGAGCCTAAGTATTGATGTCTGCTCAAGAGAGACCTTTTTGCTTAGTTAGCTCAGCAACAAACAAGTCTACTTCCTACCAGCAGCTTTGCATGATTTGATCCCCCTAATCGCTCACATAAGTTCCTAAACCTCGACAGCGGCCCGGACGTGGAAGAGCGCCTCCCTCCTCCCGCATTGATGCGCTAGTGTGCTTTCTGACCGTGTGCTTCCGTGCGGTCGTGCCGTTACAGTCAGTGTGTTGCTGTGGCTCGTAGACGATCCCCTTTCTAACACCGTGGCATCAGAGCCAGAGCAGAAGGACTTAAAAGCCTGAACACGTGGAGTCATTCTAGAGAAACGGAGGGCCCACTCCCGGAGGCCAACACCTCTCATGCATCATTCCAGACCCGGCACAGTATCTGGGTTCCATAGCAGCAGCTCAGTGAATGCTCTGGGAAGAGAAAGAGAGAGAGGAAGGAGAAGTGGAAGGAGGAGTGGGTGGAAAATTAAAGGGAGAGATGGAGACAAAGGCAGAGAGAGTGGGGAGTCAGCCCTGCAGAGCAGCCGGAAGCTTCCTGGCATGACCTCCCGGCATCAGCGGTGGGGGTGGGCAGGCTGGACCACAGCCCCGCCGTCCTCAGGGGAGGCACTCAGACTACGTAGCTGAGGGGCTTCAGAAGCCAGAGGCCAGGGCGTCAGGGCAGGAGTGACAGCAGAGCAACTCCCTGCTCCAAGCCCACGAATTCCATGGAAGGGCCGAGCCTCACACCCAGGCCTGTCCCGGTAACATCACAGTCCCCAGTCGCCTTGCCCAAATGCTTTTACCAAGAAGAGGAGAAAACTGTTCTCCACAGAGCACAGACTGATGGAAATAGAAGTCCCTGGGCTCATGCTTTTATGAACCTGGATGTCTCTGGTGCCCAGCGAAACTCACACTGACAGGAAAGCTGGTCTTCCCTTTCCCTCCAGGAGAGGACATCGAGGAGCTGTTTCTGGACGTCGCTCTCTTCGCCAAAGGCTCATCCATCCTGAAATTCTCCTACCCCGTCTGTGAAGTGGATCTTCCCAAGTTTTCTTTCTGCGGAAGAAAGAAAGGAGGTAAGGTGTCTGTCTGGGGGCTGCGGGCCAAGGCCCAGAGAGACGTGGACCAGAGCTCGCGGCTCAGGTCAGGACACCCAGGAGTCCAGGTTCCGCCCTCACAGGCGGGCAAGCTGAACCTCACTGGTCAGCACAGGGGACATAACAGTGACACACGGCCGGTCCCACGGGGCTGCCTTCCCGGGCGAGTGTGACCATCAAGTGAAAGGTGCATATCGGGTTTACGAACAGAAATTGGTGGTGGTGGGGTCTCGTGAAAAATCACCTGGTGACAGGAAGAACCAGTAGCCTCTCCAAATCCACCGAGATGCGAGGCGTTTCCAGGTTTCTCCTCAGCAGTCTCTTCAGTGGCAGGGTCTCCTTGATGGATTCTGGGGGAAAAATGAAGCTTTCTATCCGTCATTGGTGGTTCCCTTTGAGTCAGTGGCTGAGGGGGACGTTAAGTGTCTAGACTCAAAGTTCAGAAGCATAAAACCCACCAAATTATCTCCTCTTTGTCCAATTCAGTAACCCCCAACCCTCTGCTGTGGGTCCCCTCAAAGAGCACAGGAACCCCTCCTCTGGCCTGTCCCCCTCCACTCCCTCTTGTCCTCACCCGCCATCTTCACCGAGGCCCCGAGTGTCTGTTTATTTAACTAAAACTTGGATCTGATCTGTGCCTGTCCTTCGCCAGGAGCTCTCCTCTTCCCCGTTCCCAGGGTCTCCTCCTGATTGCCATTGGCCAAGGGAGAGCAGACCCTTCACCCCACACCCCAGAGACACCCGCTTCTCTATTTCCACAATCAAGGAAACCATAGCAAAACCACTCAATTGTGCCTTCTGAACGGAGGGCCTAGAAGATTGGGGTCCCCTTCCCACACTAAGGGACACAGACAAAGGAAGTTTGCGCAAGAGAGCGAGGAATGTGAGGGAGTGCAGGCGGGACGAAGCCAGGTGGCCTTGGCTGTGACGTGTGGAGGACAAGCCTCAGCTCAGCCCGCCCTGCCCGCCCTCCTGCCCGCTCCCCGAAGGGTGGCACTCGTAGCGCTGTCACGGACCCGCCATGCTGGCCTATAATCAATCGTTCACTCCCACTTGCCATCCCCAGTAGACTAGGAGCCTCCTGAGGATGGGGCAGGATCATCTCCGTCTTTCCATTTCCAGGATTTTAAATGTGTTGATATGGGGAGTGCTGAGTACAGGACGCCATACAGAGTGAAACAGCTACTGTTATTAAGCCCTCGGACCAGGCGCTGTTCTAAGAGCTTTACGTCCAGTAAGTCATTTACTTCCTGCCCCGAACTTAAGAGTTAGTACTATTCATACTCTAACTTCACGGATGCAGAACCCGAGGCACAGAGAGCTTTAGGACCTGTGCCATCCCAGAGCTGGTGACAAACCCACCACTCACACCCAGGCAGGCCAACCCCAGAGCCCAGGGTCTGAGCTTCTAAGGAATGAATGAGCAAAAGGACAAACGACGAAATGAATGAACGTGCCTTCTGACCAGGAGTTTATTTAAAATTATCCTTTAAGAACTCTTTCTGGCCAGTGATCTGACTTGGTTTCAATTCAGGACATTTAAAAATTCCTAGCTAACCTACCACAGAATGATTAGTCAGGTTTCCTCTCTCGCCTTACTGGAAATACTTCTGATTAATTGACTGCATTCGCGTCTCTCCCCCCACGGGGAACTCTTGATGAGTTGGTCACTATTTGACCTTCTCTACCTGCCGTTAGCCGTGCCTGTCCCAACCTCCTCGCCCACTGTCAGTCTCCTTCCCTTCTCCCCTCGCCTTCCTTCCTCCAACACTAAGTCCCTCCTCTGTGCCAGCACCTGGGGGAGCCTGAAGATGATCCAAGAACAGTTTCTGCCTTCAAGGACATTCGTGATGGGCAAGAAGAGATTAGAGACTCAAAAACAACTCCCCCAGGTTGCATTAAAGAGGCATAAAATGCCAAGGAGACTGGAAGAGCACAGCTCATTCCCAGTGGATTCAACCTGTTGGAGCATGGGCAATCTGGACGATGTAATAGAGAACTGCTTTCCTGATTGCCTTCTGGTTATTTAAAAGCCTGTTAGAGGCTGTATATAAAATAACATCATAACACTGATGGTCTGTGAGCATTCCTGACTTTACAGAACGTTTAGGAGGAACTCAAAGCATCTTAAGCTGCTAATTAAACCACAAACCCAACAAGAAAGATAGACAACTTGGTAGGCTGCCACCTCTAGTTGGCATCTACTGTCCTATCTCCTGTCTTTGGCTTATCTTTCAAATTTTCCCCCCAAATAAGTATTCTTGAACCCAAACGTGGAAACAGGTGGGCTCTGAAGTACCACCTTGTTGGTAAGAAAGGACACACACTGGGCTGCCCTTCACTCCTTCCTGCTGCTCCCGGGACCGAGTCTCCCTCCCGACCCGCTGGGTGAGGGAAACGGCTTCTCACTGGTCCCCTGCCTCCCCACTGCTGCCAGGGTGGTCTTCTCACATACGGATCTGATCATGTCACCCACCTTCCCCAGAGTCCCAAGCGCCCCCATCCCTACAGAACAAAGTCTAAGTCCTTTAGGGACCAAAGACTGTCACAAATTTGACTCTACCCTGCATCTAGACACATCCTGCCCCACGTGCGTCATTTGCCACTGTCTGACCACACCCTGTGTTTTCACACATGACGTGCCAGTGGTCCCTTAGCCTCGACAGCCTGCTCCCCTTTGTCTTCCACCCAGACCTAACTCCAGCATCACCTCTTCTCAGAAGCCCTCCTCCAGTCCCCCGCCACATGAATTGCTCCTTCTGGACCCTCTTGGAATATTCCATTCCCACTTACCTCGGCCGGAATTGTATGCCATAGTGTGTGTGTGTGTGTGTGTGTGTGTGTGTCCCTTGAGGGCAGACGCTTCAACTGTGATCCCCTCGAAGGCAGGAATATTTCTGGCTGTCCCTGCAGACTTGACTAAGACAGCCTGGCACAGACGAAAGATGCAGTAAATACTCGTGGTGTTGTATTTGCATACGACGGATTGAATGCAGGTGCACCAGTCCACCTCCAAAGTGACCATCTGATGACACCTGTGCAGACCACAGGCGAGGCACATCACATCCTAGCAAACAGTAAAGTATCTTGGTCCTCCAAGTTTAAGAAAACCAAACTTTTTTTTCCCTCTGTGAATGGTTTTGACAGGATTAATAAAAGAGAAGAGCTGTTCCCAGAACTGAAGTGTCCAATTCAGTTCAGCAGCTTGAAAGGCTCGTGTTTATCGTACCCGAATGCTGGGCAGTTCTGAAGCCATTTATTGGCTTCATTGCTGTCGGGTTGATAACAGCACAGGCAGGCTGAGAAGCCGAACTTAGGGAATTGCTAGGAAATTTTAAATAGTATAAAAACGATCTGAAAAGTGATACACAAAGGCCGCATAAACAAATGATTATGGAAATTACATAAGCCGGGAAAAGTAAAATCTTAAATTCGGAGGCTTCTTCTGGGGTTATGTAAGTTTTTTCAGCCCACCCACAAACCTACTGCAGGAATGATTCTATTGAAAAGAAGTGATTCTTTCTAAGACCAGAGGGGAAAACGTGGCGCTGAGGGGAACTGAAGTCAATGCAAACCGAGCACAAGCATGTCACAAGCATGTGACAATGTAAGCAGGAAGCGGGGTCCCTCTGGGGTCGCAGGCCCTTCCTAGAAGAGAAGTGAGGCGACTTGGTGCCCACTGACCGCCCGTCACGGTCTCAGCCGCAGCCGAGCCGTCTGATGTTTGCACAGCATCATTGTGCATTTCTCTGCACCCTACTGGCTGTTCTCCGAGCCAGGTAAAACTGCAGAACAGGCCAGGCTTAGTGAGACAGTGTGAATACGAAATGTCGTTTCCTCTTCTTCTGCATCTTCCTCCGTCTCCTCTAAGGCAACAGCACGCTGGATTGGAAGGCCCAGTGATGCTCGTGTGGCGTTATCATTTACGATGCGATGGGTAACTCTGGGGAAACGGCCTATACGTCCGATTGTAGGGAAGTGGCCGGGCAGACCACTGTTCAGCCAAATAAAGGTACAATATGCTGTGCTTTGAAGTGAGGTTGAAGGAGACTATTAAAGTACAGGAAAATACACTCATAATAATATTGTTAAGTGACAAAGAAGCTGCTATAAACGAAGGCTCACTATTGGATCCTGTTTTTACTGAAATGTGTATGTGTGTGCACGCCCAGGAAAACACCGAGATCGAACGCTCTTAGGAGCTTAATCGCGAGGACCTGTAAATGGTGGCGCTGCAGAGCTTTATTTCCGTCTCCTTGGAAATCTCTTTTGCTTTTATAATCAATGTACAAGGTTACTCTTTCCAATCTTAGTTGATCTTTGTAGGAAAGACGAAGGAGGATGAATTCTTTTCCCTCCGTAAATAAGTTTTCACAAAAGGAATCATAACCTACTTATTACTCAATGACTTTTGGAATTAAGCAAAATCTGAACCCAAGTGTTGCATGGAATGTCAAGGGATCGTGTGATGTCCACTCTGAGCTCTGTCCGTGGGTGCCCGTGGCCCCCTTTACCAGCTGTGGGTTCACTGAGCAGGGACTAAACAGGCCCCCGTCTTGCTTCCTACTCTGTCACTGCTCCCTCGTTCCTTTCTCTACTCTCGGCATCAAGTCATATAGATGCATTTGCTTTCTTTGATCTTGATGCTTTCAAACTTGCTCTGCCAATTTTTAAGACTGAACTGGCATTCAGCTGAATGTCCTTAATGACCACAACCAGTTACTAACCCTGAGGAGGGAAGCTTCAGCAAACCGCCTTAATACTCAACTTCTAACAGTGATGCCAGTAGAATCTGCATGTGGTTAGACAGCTTTGGTCGGTCCACAGTCATGGACCGCCCTTACCCCACTGCATCTCAATCTTGGTTGCACATTCATTAGATTCATGCTGTTTTATGTGGAGGCCACAGGCCACATGTGGCTACTTGGCCACGGAAACATAGCCA